AAGTCCCTAAAATGGGCCAAAAGATGCCCAAAAATTCACCCAAACACCCCAAAATTGAGCCAAAACACCCACAAATGAGCCCAAAGACCCCAAAAATCAGCCTAAATCACCCAAGAAATGGGCTCAAAACCCCCCAAAATCAGCCCAAGGACCATGAAAATGAGGCCAAAGACCCCCCAGATCACTGAAACATACAAACGTGAGCCAAAACACCCCAAAATCACCTGGGGTCACCTGCCTGCACCTGCAGTGGGTCTGTTTGTGTGGACACGGATCGGGCTGGAGTGGGAAGGTGCAGGATCTGGGCAGGATCTGCTCCGGTGGCCTCTCCGCTCGCCAAACCAGGACCTGGAAGAGGGGGGTTTTGGAGGGGGTAAAAGTGAGGAAAATATGGAAAAACATAGAAATAAAGAGAAGGAAAAGCTCAAGGGCAGGGCAAGGGGGAGAACAGCTCTGGAGCCCCCCCGAGCCCCCAGGATCCTCCTGGGGTGCCCCCCCAGGGCACAGGTACCCCTGGGAGGCTGCACCAGACCCTGGTCAGCCCAAAATCTGAGGCCACCAGTGAAGGAGCCGTGACCCCTGTGCCCACCCAGCCGTTTCCCGTCCCTAGGACCCCCATTCCTGTGGTAACCCCATTCCCTAGGTCCCCCTCCCTGGCACCTGCATCCCAGGACTCCCATTCCCTGGGACCTCCATTCCCTGGGACTCCAATCCCCTTAATCACATCTCCTGGGCCCCCATTCCCCCAGAACCCCCAATCCAACAGGGCTGCCCACTCTGCCCTCCCATGGTTACAACTCAGGACTTTTCACCGTATTTGCCCACAGAACTTTCCAGCTCTGCCCCCTTCCTTCCCATTGGTTGATGAATTTCAGTGTCATTACACAATCACTGCAAATAGTCCCCAAAACCACCCAGATTTGGTACAACCTTAAAATTAATAATTCCGGGATGTCCCTGTGACATCCATGTGTGGAGGGACACACCTGGCACAGGTGCCTGGGGGTTCTGGAGCCCAGCCAACGTGGGCAAGATCCCAGTGGCAGCTTCAGGTGGTGTCCTGGAGGGCAGGAAGCGACTGGAATGGGCAAAATTAAGTGGGAAAGGGCAAGAATGGGTGGGAATGTGGGGAATGGGGATGATCCTTGACCTCTCAAAGGACTCAGGGCCCTCACTGGGGTCAGGGAGCAAACTGGTCTGACTGGGGGAGACTGGGTGTGCAGGGAGCCCAGTGGGCCTTTATACAACTTTATCCCACAGGATTAAGGATGGCAAAGCAAATACATTTATATAAATATATAGGATTTATTCTGATAATGATTAGACAAAAAGACCTTAATTAGAATTATTTACTACACTGTGTAGGAGCTACAACTATTAGTAGAGTATAGAGCACTAGGAAGCAATATTGAAGCAATTATAGCAAAGCTGGCAAAATCAAGTAGAGCTTGATGTGACTCACCCAGACCAACAATTGTGGGTAAAGGAGTGATCTTGAGGGGCGTCCCCACTCCGAGGAGGAATCTCCACACTCCAAGAAGGGATAATTCAGAAGATCCTTCCATTAAAATTTGGGCTTTTATAGTATTGTTACAATCTGCTTAAATGTTGCAGAAAGAACTTCAGAACTTCGAATATTCTCTTGAACAAAATTAAAACTCACACAAGTTATCCGTTGATACCAAAACTGATTTTATTAATTGCTAAGAGATGCAAAGAGAAAGAGGAAAAAATAAGAAAAGCTTGGAAAATGCTAAGATTACTTCTAGAAGCAGAGAAAAGATACCACCAAAACTACCTTTCTGCCAAGCTGGGGGGGGAGAAGCAGTTTCTGCCCTTTTTTTTCTCTGTCTCTGCTGCTTTTCGATGTTATCTCTTTAGCTGGGGGGGTGTTAGCAGTTTTAGTTCTCTGGAATGCAGCCAGGATGTGTGGTTTCCCTGCTCATGCTGAGCCATGTCCCAGGCCGTGCAGGGTCCTGGTTCAGCCTCACCTTTCAGCCCCCAGAAATATGGTCAGGGTGGAAGGATAAGATACAACTCACGCAGGTGGCACGGTGGGTCTCAGTCCTCTCCAGGCCGGCACAGTTCCAGTCTCCAGTGGCAGCACCCGCTGGCAGAGGAAAGGTGAGGGGGAGGTGGGGAGAGATTCTCAGCTTCAATGACCAGTTCTCTCTCCCTTTCCTCTCTCCTTGATTTTCCAAAATTTTCCCTCAACTTTTATAGTGTTCAAAGGAGGTTGTACGTGGTTTCTTGGCACGTAGCCCTAGTCAGATGTCTGAGGAGATATGATAACCATAAACAATAGCAGGATCTTTTGGCAGGAAAGCTCCAGCAGGAAGCTCTGGTGAGAACTTCTGGCAAAAAGCTGACAGAGAATTTTTGGTAGGAAGTTTTGACAGGCAGAAACAATGGCAAAACATTATTTCTGGCATTTCTATATTATCTGTGTGTTACAAGTATAAAGTGCAAGTCTGTCAGTCAGGTGAGTCCAGGTTGTGCCAGCTCAGCAGCTTTGGAGAAGTTCTCAGTGGTGTCACTTGTTTCTTCCTTTATCTGGTGATTTTCCCAGCTCTGCCACATCTTCATTCTCAAATTTTGGGATCAATGAGTCCAGTTGGTTCCAGCATCACTTGACCTCAAGAGCAGCAGGACCCCACTTCTCCATTCCCCAGTGAGGGCTTTGCAAATAGTGCATTGTTTGAGTTGCTTTTCCCCATTCCAAGCTACAGGTTCCCTGGGATGCCACATTGGATAAACCAGTTACACCAGTTCCGTTGGAGAATAAAACCAGTTAAAGCAGTTATATTGGAGAATACAATAGTTACACCAGTTCCAATAGAGAATTAAACCCAGATACAACAGGGCTTTATGGAAACAAAGGTACTCTGGGACCTTTCAGAACCCCATGGAATCAAGGCCTCATTTTGACACTGAGGGGCCTAATGGAATACAGGGGTCCATTGTGACACTGCAGAATGTCATGGGGTCATTTTGACATTGTGGAACCTCATGGAATCAAGGGGCCATTTGACACTGAGGAACTGATGGAATCAGGGGACCATTGTGACACTGCAGGGCCTCATGGAACCAAAGGAACACAGGGAGACTGTGGAATCTCATGGAACCAAAGGGCCACTGTGACATGCAGGGCCTCATGGAACCAAAGCAATCCTGAGACATTTTGGAACCTCATGAAATCAGTGGGCCATTCAAAGAATCACAGAATGTGCTGAGTTGGAAGGGACCCACAAGGATCATTGAGTCCAACTCTTAACCTTGTACAGGACCATCCCCAAGAGTCACACTATGTGCCTTAGAGTATCATACAGATACTTCTTGAGCTTTGTCAGCCTTGGTGCTGTGACCACTGCCCTGGGGAGCCTGTTCAGTGCCCAAACAGCCTCTGGGGGAAGAACCTTTTTCTGATATCCAACCTAACCCTGCCCTGACACAACTCCAGGCCATTCCCTGGGGTGCTGTCCCTGGTCCTCATAGAGCAGAGCTCAGGGCCTGCCCCTCCTCTGCCCCTCTCAAGGAAGCTGGAACTGCAGTGAGGTCTCCCCTCAGTCTCCTCTGCTCCAGCTGAACACACCGAGTGCCCTCAGTGTCCTCACAGGGCTTCAAATCAAGGTCCTTCCTCATCTTCGTTACGCTCCTTTGGACACTCTCTAATGGCTCAATCTCTCCCTTCCATTGTGTCCCCCCAGACTGCCCCAATATTGAGGTGAGGCCGCCCCAGGGCAGAGCAGAGCGGGACAATCCCCTCCCTGGCCTGGCTGGCCATGCTGGGCCTGATGCCCCCAGGACAGGGTTGTCCCTCCTGGTTGCCAGGGCACTGTTGACTGTCAGAGACTGAAATGGTTAAAGATTTATGCATTCTAGGAGACTCTTGCAAGATTTTGACCTTTGCATTATACCTCTGATGGGCAGTTGGGCCTGTCCCTGCCTCCAGTGAAGAGCCAAGTTTGCAGGCTTTTGACTGTTGTATTATACCTCTGATGGGCAGTTGGGCCCATCCCTCCCTCCAGTGCTGAAGGTGTCAAGCCCTGAAAAGGCAGGACCTCTGATGGCCCATAAAAGCCCATCTTCTCCTCTGCCAATCTTAAAAAGGCGGGAACCAGGACAGACACAGAAACTGCGCAGGCCCAGGGGAGAGTTTGGAGGCTGGAGGCATGGCCCATGACATTAACCATGGATATAATAATTCATAACTTCTTGCCATGTGGGGGCTTCCCTCCTTCACCCCCAGCAGATCAAGGTCACCACTTCAACTGACAGACATGGAAGCGGCAACTCCCAAGTGTCATCGCTGGACCCCGTAGGTGGTCACTATATACGTTTTGTCCACTCGCAGCTTTTCTTTTTCATTACTCTCCCTTACTCTTATCCTGTCTTTCTCTCCCCTATGCATTTTCTCCCCCCACAAAGGTTATCTCTATGCCACGTTGTTACATGACAACACCCAAAATGCTAGCATACCTGTTGATACAGAATTGTTAAAATAAACCTTATCAATATATTTTTTCAGACACTGATTATTCAGTGTCGTTTCACTCTAATCCACCCCAACGGAATTATTGATAAGAACCTGGGTTACCCTCCTCCCCTTTTTCTGGGGTGGGTCGTAACACTGACTCGTGGCCAAGTGGCCACCAACCAGGGCCCCCAGGGCCCTTTTCTGGCAGTGCTTTCCAGCCTCTCATTCCCAGTCTGTCCATACATCCAGGATTGCCCCATCCCAGGGGCAGAATCCAGCACTTCTCCTTGTTGAACTTCCTGTGGTTGGTGATTGCCCAGCCCCCGAATTTGTCCAGGTCTCTCTGCAGGGCCTCCCTGTCTTCAAAGGAGTCAACAGCTTCTCCCAGTTTTGTGTCATCTGCAAAGTGTCCTTTCCAGTCCTGTGTCCAAGTAATTTATGAAGATGTTGAAGAGCACAGGGCCCAAGACTGAGCCCTATGGAACCCCACTAGTGACAGGTCACCAGTTTGATGTCACCCTCTGTGCTCGACCCATGAACCAATTGCTCACCCACCCCATGATGCGTTTGCCCAGCCATGGGCTGATGGACCCTAGCATGTGCAAAAAACATTTTCAATCCTGAAGTCTGCTCTCTTCATGGCCAGAGGTGAGGTTTTGATGGCATTTCTCCTCCTGTCAACAGAGATTTTAAACTCGATCCCTTCATGGTTGCTGTGGCCAAGATGGCCCCAATCTCCACTTGCTCATGAGATCGTCTCTGTGGACAAGTAGCAGATCAAGGAGGGCACTGATCTGAGTCAGCTCCCTTAGGATCTGTTTCATCAAGTTGTCATCCAGGTTTTTCCAGGGGTCTCTGGGGCTTCTAAGGAGCCATGAGGTCACTGGCTGTGACAGGTGCTGCATGATGACATCCCAGAGGTCTCTCAGGTCCTAAAGTTCCATTAAGTCATGCACAGTAACAGGGGCTCCATGGTGACATCAGAGGTGTCTCCAGCCTGCTCAGAAGTAGAGAGGTCACAGACAAGCACACGGTGACACCTCAAGTTGTTTTGCCAAGGGGATGAGGGTCAGCACAAGAGACACAGACACCAACCTTAAGGAACAAGTGCGCAATGTTACTTTAATGCAAAACAGCAAAGAATTGCAAAAAGATAAGCTCAAGTAATGCATCTCATTGTTACTACAAAGACTGCCTACAGTCACTAAGAAATCACCAGTTACCCTGATACATTACCAGCATACAGACCTGCACGTCACCGGGGGAACCCCGGTCACAGCAAAGGGTCAGAGAACCCCTCTCGGGATCTGGGAAGTCCTATGCAGGCCATCCAATCATAGGGGAGGTCTTCATCTTTGCTGTGAGAGGGTCCAGCTTTTATACTGTTGAACAAACAAACTTACATAACCACTAGTGTGGAAAACATCTGGCTTCCTTCTCTCCTTGGGTTTCACCCAAAGCCTGGTCAGGGCTTAAGGGGAAAACCAAGGGAGTCATCCTGCACCATCTGCTGCCAAACAAGGCCAGAGATCTACTTCCATGGCCTTGACTAGTCTCTAAATACAGAAAGATAAATATACTCATATTTTGCTGACAATCATACATATTTCATTAATGAACAGATACAAATGTTATTCACTAATGAGAGAACAAAAATATATCTTACTAATAAGCACACATATTTACACAGGTGTAGTCTTATCACAGTACCTATTTTACTAACAAGCATACACAGATTTTGCTGATAAGCGGATACATGACTTAATACAACGTTAGGTTGAAAGGTTCATCTAAAGGTCAACCTTGGCTCAGGGTCTGTTGTTCAGGCCTCAGCACTCCAGTGGGTCACCAGCTGTGGCTGAAGCTCTTCCTGCATTTCAAGGATTTGTAAGGCTTCTCCCTGGTGTGGATCTGCTGATGGCGGAGCAGGGTGGAGCTGTCTCTGAAGCTCTTCCCACATTCCAAGCACTTGTAGGGCCGTTCCCCCGTGTGGATCATCTGGTGGCGGATCAGGCTGGAACTGTGGCTGACGCTCTTCCCACATTCCAAGCACTTGTAGGGCCGTTCCCCCGTGTGGATCATCTGGTGGCGGATCAGGCTGGAACTGTGGCTGACGCTCTTCCCACATTCCAAGCACTTGTAGGGCTTCTCC